TATTTCTCATGGTAGGCTGTGACATCAGCAACGGGGATTAATAAATCAATAACTACAAATACCGAAAACGAGTGAGAATAAAAAATAAAACAGCAACAAAATTATACCGTGAACGATAGAAGCATGTGCTTGATCATCACACGAGTGAAATACGGCAGATGACTAAGCTATGACATAGGATGGCAAACAGCAAAAAAAAAAAAACAAACTGCCACGTTAATCGAAATAGAATTTGTATGGTACAGTAAGTATTGTGTTATGAAAAAGTTGTATACGAATCAAAGAAAGGATTGACATGGTTAGAAACTACTTTTGTCAGGAAAAAGCCATGCTGCTGCAAGAAGACAATATTGCACGGATTATTCCGACCAACAAGTCCCGAATGAGAAAATGTTTATCAGATTGGTTCTACATTTAGAAGATTATGCTATGACTTTTTTAGTTCGTATAAAAATAGTGACATTGGCAAATATAATTAGAGTACTTAATATAAATTACATCTAATCATAACAAATTATTTTGCCGATTATATATCATTAGAAAGACATTTATTCTCTATTAATAAGTTCTAAGTAGCAGGTATATTTAAGTAGATGAACACACAAAGTCTTGTTCATATATATAATAAATAATAACATGATTGATTGTGAATAGTCAACTATAAAACTATGGGGCCTAATTTTTTATATACCTAGAATTTTTCACTTGGGAAATATTATCGTTGAACGATCAGTAAACGCTTTTATTTTGTAATTGTTGCTAACAGCCCAGCATATGTTATTGAAACCAAATATATAACACATTTATATGCAAAATGAAAATTGCATTTACACGTGGGTACAAATTGGCTATTAATTGTTCCAGTGCGCCCGAATGAAGTAGCGTTGCGGACATGTTTTCATTGATGTAAAGAGATACCGTAGCAGAAATTATATCGTTTGTGATAGCGCGCCAATCATCAATTCCAAATAAACGGGTTACATATCTTTGACGTCACCAACTCGTGATTAGTTTCTGCCCCGAAACGGTAAATGATCAATTGTTCTAGAAAACAATAGTGCAGCATTGCTCATTGTATGCAATACATAATGAATGTCAAACCGCTGTAATTAAAATTTGGAGCAAAGTGTGCGTTAACGCATTACGTTATATTGTGTTATAGGGGCGCAGATTGTGATAATCTCAAGCAGATAGTAATTAATGTCGACAGGGATGGAAGAGCTTTAATGTCTAAAGAACTATGAACTAGCGACAAGATTATGTTGCTACCCTTAGATAAAACAACCTCAGTTTTGACTGTAAATGGTTTATCAGAATATAATAATTGCAATTTCACATTGGCGGTGTTAGGCTCTATCTATGGGTATACTTGTTAAGGGAAATCCTTGGTCACTTTAATCAGTGGTCAAGGACGGTAATCTCATGGTGGTACGCGTGGCTCAAGGGTCACTAGTTGTCATTCTGTCCCACAATGGTCACATTCACTCTCTAATAGATGCACGAACACTTCATATCCTCATTCAATTAATATGCGCTGTGGCCTACTAAGGACCAGGATAACCCTCTCAATTTTTTTTGAGATGCACAATGCGAATGATTTTTTCACTGTACATAGGAAACTAGAAGTGATTATGGTGTACAAAATCTAACAAATACGGCCAAAAGAAATTGATTTAAAATATTTTCAAGTTCGTAACTTCACCGCTAGATAGCGCTATTCGGGAAACAAGTGCATCAAAATTAGTGCGGTGATTAAAAAATTATTAACCTCAAAGTTATTTCTATTTATTTCAAATTTTCTATAACATTTTTTTCAATTGAAAACAAAATGCGTCTACGAGAAAAAAATGGTTTCGAATTTCGTTTATTTAAAGGTCTGGAACAGTTAGGAACGTATTTGGAAAAAAAACAACTATGATAATTAATTATCTGTAGGTATATTTACAAAATCGCTGTCTGCTGGCTTGTATGCTGGCTGATGATGTATTACATAATAAATTCGAAATACCTTTTAGATCTCTATACAAAAGCTGAAATTGGTTTTCGCCTATTTCTTCTTTACGCGTGCCGTTTATTTGAAGGCCATTTTCACTTAAGGGACTGTGTACGAAACAAGAATAAACTAACAGAGGGCTACTCACAACCAATGTAATCAGAATAAAAGGGACAACATGCATGTGCAAGAAATTATTACTGGTGGTAAAATGTAAAGGGTCGAGTAATTTTCTGTCAATGATTTTTCTTTATTTTTATACTAATTTAAAAGTTATGAACAATATTCCTTCTGAGTTTCCTTCAATAATAATTACGTGGAGTAAGGAAGGATAATAAAACCAAAATATTTTACCAAAACGAAAAAACACATTGTAGGAAAAGTCTGCAGTTCATTTTATAAGGTAACAGGTACTATTTACTTTGCAATTTAAGTAAAACATGCCGTCCCGCCGATAATATTCCCATGGTGAATTTAATAAACAAGTTTAGGGGTACAATTTAAATCTCGACTTGAATTGTTCCCTCTCCTGGCAGAACCCCGCAAAAATGTCGCTTTAAAGTTTAAAGTTGTCGCTAGACTGCCCGCGGGAACTCCTTGTCATTGTTTCGCAAAGATTTATTTCCGCGGACTGCGGCAACTCCATGGAAGGAGTTTGGGATCTTACACAAAATTACATATTGGAAGTTAGGAGGTAGTTCATCCAGTAAATGAATTAATGAGATTATGATCGGGTTCTTACGCAAGAAATGATTTAATTAACTCTTGAAATGAATTAGTAACTCAATTTTTTTTAGTTGCATTCGATAATGAAATGTCGAGCTTTAATATCAATTTATTTCTTCTGAAAAAGAAAACAACTCTTTTTCCTACAACAATTATTATAAAAATAATATTTCAAAGAATTACTGAAGACATTGGCTTAAAGCCATAAGTCGTTGAGAAACTGGTGCCGCTCGTCACCGGGAGTCCTTCGAAGAAGGCCTCATGATATTTAGCAATGATTTTGAACAAGTAAACTTAGATCGTCGGGGCCATGTGTTGAGCATTTGGTATCGACTAACTGCGTCGTCGTTTCTAATAACGCGCGAAATACATTCGAAAAGACGTAGGAATTCCAAGATATTTAAATAAGTTGTTAGAATGTTGTGAGGAAAATACTAATAGATCAAATAGCTGGTTTCTAGGCGGATTTTCCAAGCTATAAGAATAGATTAAATGAGATTGATTAATCCGTCATGTTTCGCTATACGGAATCAATAGAGGAATGTGTAGGGTTACTTGTAAATTCAGTTTAGTCTCACAATTGTAAATTCAGTCAATTAGGTATTAACATAGTTAAGCTATTTTAAAGCCCGATATTCAGGGAGCCCACCAATAAGATAAGAACAGAAACTTCTGGACCCAAGAAATGGGCGTGTCAAAGCGAGGTGTCGAAAAAAGGCAGTTTCTCCTTGGATTCCACACTGGGCAGTTTTCTTAACTCTAGAGTCTAGGGTTAATTTAATAACGGATAAAGTCTTTCCAAATTTTGGTATGAATTCGCGTTGGGTTCCCTGAATCTCGTTAATCAATAATGTTTGTTCGAATCCGCTGTGTCTTTGTTATTTTGTTTGTGTTTTTTTTAGTGTCACCCTATACAACCAACCATTACATTCTACATGAGCGATGTACAGTAGGTGTCTGGAATTCATTCTCTGAACGTACAAAGTTTCCCACGTATTAATTAAAGCGTAAATGATATAAATTATAAACTCCTTCTCGAGGTAATAGTAAACTCTTTTGAAATCCATTATCGTTATGATACTGGTCGTAACGGTAGATAGATAAATAAAGAAATAACCCCTCAGGTTACTGATTCAACTTTTCCATAATTACATACCTCTAATTTTTAAGAAAGCAGAGCAAAGTAACAAACTCTTAGCTGTGACTCGGTGCCGATTATCGCCTAACAATGTCAAATTTATTGGATTGTTTGTGTTGATTGGTGCATTATACAAAAAAGTTCAAGGACACAGAAGTTTTGGCTGGAAATGATTCATCTAAATCTGATACCGATTTTCTTCAATGTCAAATTACTTTTTTAAACCTCTTCTAAATTCAACGTGACTAGATAATTTGTGTTTATATTTTTCATAAGCTGCCATGATGTAATTGTTCTGTACAGAGTTTGAAGACTAATCTTGAATAGTTCTTGATCAACGGGAGTTTCCAATCTTTGAAAAGTCATACTCTTTTGGTAGTCTTACATATGTGCTAAATAATCACCCAAAAACTTGCAATATTATAGTAATTCTAGTAAATCTTATAAATCAAATAGTGTTAGACAAATTTGTTTACTTATAACTTATCAACTATTTTCTCTTCCTATTTTATCGAATTTATAAAATATTGTCATTTCATTCACATGATACATATATATGCATCTATAAACAGTTTTAGTGGACTTTGTATAATCACCAAAAGCGATTTTCTGGCAATGGTCTACACGTGACCACAAAACTTTGCAAATGGATTCCACACCAATATAGAATTGAATACGAGTTGAATAGAGAAATCGACAAACATCTAAAACAATTACTCTCCATACATGCAATATATGTGTATAGTTCGATCTTTGCAGATAAATGGTAAAGATTTACCTATTGCAACATAACGTAAAATAACACAATAAAAAAAAAGGTATCTGTATCTCTGAAAATAATAAATAGTAAATTGTATTCTATTTCGAAATCTTCAAAGGCAACGACGTTGGAATCGAATCTAATATTTTCGTGAGATGACCCTGAGCAATAAGAAGAGCATATTTTGAATATTCTTAGGGTACAATTTCACTATAACTTTTTTCCTGCTTTCTGTGTTTTATTAAAATATATTTTGTTTGCTTTTGTCTTTTAATTTTATGGCAAAAAATGACAATATGTGCCTTAGCTGTTCATTCCAAGACAAGGATGTGAAATTAAATCTTATTTCTAAACATCAACGCAAAAATTTTGAGAGTACTTACACAGAAAAATGGTAGATAAAGCACAGCCATCCTCCGGGATGTTCCAAAAACACATAAGTCCTCTCTTGAAACGTCTTCCCCTTCTTATGGTGGAACACGTATTTAGCCTTGAAAGCCTGATCTATCGGCAGATAAATAGGATAATAAGGATCGGGTACTCCTCTAGGAGGTTCAATCGGCGTATCGATAACGTCGTCTTCCTCGTCGTCCTCCTCGTTGGCTTCCTCGACGTGGATCTTATCTTTCTTGTGGCTTTTTTGCGTTCGCTTAATTGGTGTAGGAACCCTTTTGTGGTGCGCTTCATTGAAACGAGGTGTTCTCTGGCTGCGGAAACGGTGCAGAAATGGCATCCTTTCCGAGTATTCTTGCTCCAGGTCCTCTTCACTTTGTTTGCCCCTTTTTGATGAAAAAAACTTATTCCACTACGCCAAAAGACAGTGCCGGATTTATATTAAGGATTATAGAATTTTTTTTTAAATTTCAAAAACAATTGTCATACTAACTTTTGCTTGTCTCTTGTTAAAATTTGGAAAATTTTAGGGTATTATGGAAAATCCGACACCGGATTATCACAAGAAATAGCTCAATAATACTTGATCTTTAAATTATATACTTAAACTCATTGAAAGTTAAGTTAAGCTGAGAAAGTTAATTCGGTTTTAAGAAAATTGAAATCTAATGCTACAGGTGCAGACGGAATGAACATAAAAATCTTAGACTTATTTTTTCCACAATTAATTGAATATTTCACCTTTATTATAAATAAATGTCTCACTTCAGGAGAATTTCCTGATATTTGGAAAGACGCTTATATATGTCCTGTTCCTAAAATCACAAATCCCACAAGCCTGGCTGATTTTAGACCTATCAGTTCCTTCTATTTTAATGTTACAAGCTTAATTTACAAACATCTAGTATGCCAGCAAATTATTAGTTTATAATCTTTCTAATTGTTATCATAGATCTGGAGGGTGTCCCAAAATTTCTCAATATGAAATGCAGCTGACGGACACAAAATATAAAATTCTAGAAAAAATTCACACGTCATTCAATATTTATGAGAAACGTCTCTTGGTGTTTTAGAACGTCTGACAAAATTCTCTTGAATATTTTATAGTTTCATTTCCAAGGATGGAAAATACCCTGCGTTTCCTCTGCTGTTTTGAAATTTAATATACTTTCAGCAAAGTACCACTTTACTACCAACAGAGAATATAAAGAAAAGTAAAAATGTAGAATTCTTAATTACTCAACGGCTTATGAAATATTTTAGTTAAAAGGGAGAAACTGTTGAAAATTATATACAGGGTGTAGTTTATTAAACCGGCGGAACCGGAAGAACATTAGCTTGTATATTATTCGAGATACAAAAAGAATATATAGAAAATTCTTTAAAATTTGCAAAAACATAGTCCTTTAGAATTAATAATAATTTTAATTTGACAGCAATTAAAATCACAACATATTTGACATTGCGACAATATACATTTTATAGCATTGTATGGGAAACGGATAATTATAAAAACAGATTAAATTGTGAATACTTTAAAATAGAATATTTTAATCTTCTACTTTTATTTGAATATTTGTATCTCAGAAAATAACAGAGCTATTGCACTTTGTCGCACTGTTGGGGAACCTTGTATATTTACTTTAACTTATTTTGCTTTTACCACATGAAAAGTTGCCAGTAATTTTGCAGTAATCAACAGTACACTGCTACAGCATCCAGTATTGAGTATAAATTTCACTAAACCAATCTATGCAAACACTTTTAGGAAGGTCTCCCATTTTTTATCTCATTTTAAATCATACACTTCACAAATTTTCGATTAAAATTGCGGTTTCAGTGGCAGCAGATTGATTGTCAACCTAACATTTATTAAGAGGTAGGTGTTTGTTTCACAGTTCGAAAATTCCAAATAGTCTATAAATCGGTAAACTGAGTTTATTAAAAAATCAACAAATTTGTACTAGGAATACTTGAAAGTTTTTTTAACTGTCATGCCAAAATAATAAAAGAAATATTAGTCACTACAAAATTCCCAGAATGATTTTCATAGAATCATACAGTCGTACAATATATTGTACAAATATTAGCAGATCATTATGTATCCAACAGATGCAGCATAACTAAATCAGTGAGAGCAATAAACTGTTTCCATTAAATATCCCTGTAACGAGATGAAGACATCAATCTTTAGTTGCTGAAACAATAGCAGTCGTAATTGGATGAAGAGAACAAGCAACAGCGGCATAGAAATTTAATAATGAGCCCAGATCTACCCCAATTAGGTTTTCTAAATGTAATTACCGCAGTTTTGTCATTCGAATCACTCACAAAATGGACGTTCTCGTACCGTGAAATAAGTTTACTTTGAAAGTCGGCACAATACAATTAGCTTATTTTGTAAGAGAACTTGAAATTTTGTAATTTCGGTCTTATGAAAAGAACGCGTGGCTGGTTTGGGCGCATTTAGTGTTAAAAATGTATATTCGAAAGTTCAATAATTAATTCGCATATAAAAGATCAGCAAATGTTCAGTGCGAGATACAGGGTGTTAAAAGATTATCCAAAAATGTGAATTTTGATTGACATAGCTTTGTCCGACAGTATATCAGCATATTTTAGGATCATTTTGTGAAAAGCAACCGTTAAAAAGTCAATGCATCTTTTGAATTAAAATTAAATTGATTTGGCTAATTTTATAGCAAACTTTTATAGTAAACAAGGTAATTTTTGTTTTTCTCTCATTCTTCCAAACAATAGATAGTAAAATTTTTATAACTCTTCCAAATATAATTTATTTGACTAATTTGTTTAAAGCTAAATACATATTACCTACTTTTTAAACAAAATTGATAGTGTATAGAGCAGAACATATTTCATAAAAATATCACTGTCTTTTTAGTCTTGAGCAAATCAAATTATGTTATACATCCTTGTTTACTGATATCCCAAATAATCGATAACAAGGAAAACAATAAACTTCTACGAGCTAGTTAGAGGTGGAGCTAAATTTGACGATGTCAGAGCCTTATAAGACCGATGAAAATATAAAAGGTGGCAAGGTATAAATCAGAAAAGTATTTTACAGGTATTGTACCACGATCTAGGTTAAGGTCGTACAACAATAGCAAAAAACTCATTAATCACTTTCGGTAAAAGGCTTGTATATGTTATTACAGTAGCCGTATGGATTTTCAGTACAATAAAGCTCTTTTCTCGTAATCAATCCCTCCGAATCACTTTTAATACATATAATTGACCCGAAATTAGGTTATTTCAAGTAAGCATTTGATTAACCATTAATACTACTTCAGGGAATTGCTCAATTTGTAGGTAGATAACAATATAAAGCCATTTCAATTTTGAGTTTACTTAAAATTTTGTGAAATTATTAACTGTATAATATTAATATCACGTTTGAAATGAAATTTGAGTCACTTATTATGATATTTTCAATACAAAGTCTGTTCAGAAAATAATTTTACATTATTGGTCCTTCTGGACTTCTGAACAGGCCTCGTATATGTATATTATGTTTCTTAATTATTTTATAACTGTTATATCATATTCCTCTAAATGACAATAGAATGATAATAATTGCCCCTATTACGTTACGTTTTATTTGTTATAGATACATATTATAACGTATTCAATTAGGCCATTAATATAGCAATTACCCTTACACATTTCAGACCATAACTTTACTACCTCTGATGGTGATGTAACAATCCTGGGAGTCATTTTTACAGTTTTGCGTCAACTGAATAGGGCTTTTATAACGTGCAGATGGAGTCGAGTTTCATTGTCTGGTGTAATTACGTATTTATCACGTCATTAGTAATTCAGTGGAGTTTTACTCAGAAGCATTTTGTAAAAAGCTATCGTACCTTACAATATAGATCGATGGAAAATCTAAATTCTAAAAGAGTTATTTTTGTGCTTAAAATATTCAGAAAATGAATAAAAATTTTATTATATTAAAAATATCCATATTCCACTGTTTGTTCGAAAAGGAAGCAATTTGGCGGTAATTCGTTTTTGAGTAGGTATATATATAATTAGTTACATGCACATTTTTATGTTTATTTTGTGTATAGACAAGGCGTTTAATCAAATTTAGTGTTTTCTAACTGTTAACAAAGTTAATGTACTGTGCAAAATACCCTTCCCTTTCAATAGGTATTTGAGTTTATAAAACGAAAACAGCTTTTAAAAGCTCAGTGGCTTGTGAATTGCAAATTTAAAGGACATTTTCCACATGCATGACGTGAATAAGCGCTGTTGGATATTTCTTTTTCTATGTAATATTTCAGAAGAAAACGGATTTAATATATTGTTTTGGTAACATAGAAACTACTGAAGGACAAAAATACATAGTGACTCTTTATTATTGTGACTCTTGTATTATAGTGACTTATTTTATTATTCCTATGTACCATACATTTGAGTACAGCCAAATGTATTTTAATTGTTCATTTTCAGTGGGATTACAGCTTGCATACCTGCAGCTACATGAAACAAAGATATAGAATTTTCAGGATTCTACTAGTTAATTGTATTTTAAATATGCAAACGCTCTTATTTCAGTTTTATTTTTGGTATTGAATGGTGTGCAATATGGAATGTTCCTGGGTCACTAATTGAAAATTAAAATATTGCTGGAGTTTGTCTGTAATAGAAAATTTGGAACATATCAGGAAAATTTAAACATTATGCAAATAGAGAAATATTGTGCTTCAATAAAATTATCTCAGTTAGTTTCAATATAAAGGATGCTTACAAACTTGAAGAGATTTTTTTCAATGGTAAGTAGAATGCATTTTCAATACTCAAAACCGTTGTTACTACACAATGGTGCTTAAATATAGAAATAATCACCTCTGGAATCGTGCCCTATATAAGAACAGGTGAATAGTAGGTAGGACACTGTCCACTTTTTTTGTCTAGATTTCTGTAATAAATTTAAAAAATTGCTATTAGTGAGAATTAACATACTGAAATTCATAATCAGTACAATAACAATGAAAACAGAGTTAACTGCACAGCCGAGCTACCGATGGAATCAGCGGTTCCAAAAATGTTTCTTCGCAATATAAAATATGCTATACTTATGCAAAAAATATGTTTGCCAATTGATCATTTTTTCAGCTTTATTTACTCTTCAAATGTACAAAGAGAATGCAGGATAACATTGCAAACTAAATATAACTTTATTGTTTGTGTACTTCATGATAAACGCACACCACCATACATAGTTATCAATTCGATGGGCGGCTATTTATATAAAACAATTTTATTTTAATGAAAACCAATAATACTTTTACCGAATTGACATAGAATATTATCATCATTTTTCCAGGAAATATTTTGCGTAAAAACAATTTTGTTTACTTATCTCTGACAGTAAATATTCACGTCATTGCATAACTATATAAAAGCTTCCCATCCACAAACAGTGGTGTAAATCGATGACGTTACTCCTGAATTTAATCTGCTGATGATTTATGCATTTTAATGATAAAATACCATAAATATGCACGCACGGGTGTCTATTATTTTTTGTTTGTGTCATACTTATCAATTATTCCATATATTAAACGATATTTTAAAACAATGTAAGCTTAGTTTTTCAGTCTATAAACTAGTATATGAAACAATTTTATTACATACAATATTTATTATCTTTATTTTACTTCAAATACAAGATTAAAACTTTGACATTTTAGCCAGACAATTCACTCACCGACAAGTGATACCTAAATGTATTTTGTACTATATTCACATATTATGACGCACATTCTGACGCTAGCTGCAAATAATATTTAACAATAAATCCTCCTCTGTAGCAGAAAGTTATGTTGAGGACTCCATATCTAAAAAACTTGATGTTACAAGGAAAATCCGAGGAAAATATAGCTGTTCCTTACAAGAAGAGACATCTGTAACTTGTGCAAATTCTTCACAAACTTCGGCAGATGTTATGCGTTCCGAAAATAATGGCAACAATGCTACAAGAGTTGTTATTAATGGAAAGGCAGTTAAATGTGATAAAACAAAAAACGAAATATTTATTACTATAAATGTATCTAAATGTTAATGTTAATAATTAAATAATTTAAATTTGATTTATTATAGGTTCATTAATTTTTCATTATTCTACTAATGAAATAAAGTTACATTTTTCCACTAGTGGATAAAGTATCACTTTTGACGGTTCATATGTATGGATAAAAGTCCGATTATAAGGTGATTGTGGATAAAACATTTTTTTCACTAGTGTGCTTTGTAGTGATATGTCTCGCTATATATACATTATACAAGGTGTAACTGGAATGCTAAACCAACTTTAATAAAAGATTCCGTCCTATATTAAGAAAAAACTTCGCATAAAAATGTGCTCATACCTTTATAGTTTTTCCAAGACAAGTATTTAAGTTAAAATAAAAACACCTTATTCACTTAATAGCTTTTATTTCAATTTTTGTATTTGTCAGAGCTCCTTAAAATCTGACTTATGTTATGAAAATGAGATTTTCTATATGCTATATGGTGCAGTTTTGAATACACTACCTGATATTTACCAGTACCAGCTAATTTAATTTAATTACTCGAATTCGAATACGTGTTAACAATTGCTTTTCCACAGTTTGATTCCTATAATTTCCATTAATCACTCAAGTAATATAGATCTAAAGAACATATATTTTAAAATATTAATTTAGGTATTTTAATTCTACCCTGTAAATATTTTCCTGTTAAATTTTAATTGTATGTCTTAATTATGTCCATTTCCTGGACCCTTTCGTTTCAGAGATAAAGTGTTTTGCTATAGAATTTTCTCTCCTAAAATATTGAAAAATCAAAGAATATCCAAACCCTGATTGATTGCAAAATCTGGGTTCAACGAACCAAAACATTAACCTCTGCAAAGCTAATCTCCACTCAATATAATAAATTTATTGTTATTATTACCACATTTCCATAATTTTGCATTTGCTGCCACGGGACAGGGCACTACATTTACAGTGTGCGAGTAATATGAGTGAGCGATGTTTATCAACGGTCTAATGAACACAAATTTATTTTGCGGAAGTTGACAAAGTCAACCAATCGATAGCTCTTTTAACTTTCAAAATTACACCACTTCCCTTTAACTTCCTCTATTTACTTTATACGTAACGTGTAAAACGTCTGATTATATCATTTTAGCCATCGAATTAACTGGAATTTGAAACTTTAATACACTGTGTTGCCTCTGCTTAAAATAAATTGCTGTTGTAGAAAGGCTGGAAAATGCTTCGTAACCAATAGCAATGGAGGCTTAAAAGTTGATGTTTCGTAGATTTAAAGTTTAATTTTACAATTTACAACAAAAGTTATAATTTCAGTCAGTCGATGTACCTTCAAACTTTACTTTAATCTTACAACGAGCACAATGTAATGAATGCATTATATGATAGATTATACTCGTACAAAATACGTTTCGTGTTGTGTTGTGTGTCGTTTTAATACGGATGCAGCTCGCATGAAACTATACATGAAATATGCTTTAAATCAACTCCATTATGATTTGCTTTGTGGTTTATGCGAAACATATGTGGATATTTCGTTTTTCATTTTACATTTCCAACTCCCGCATTTATATAAACAAAGACACGAATCAGAAGGAAAGTTCAAGTGTCTTGAGTGAAGATGTAAAATGCATCTAACTTGGGATGTGTAATTATCGCGTAGACAGATGACATCCCATAAAATATCTAATGAGAAGGTCGTGAAGACTTTATGGCGAACTATAAAAAAATACAAGGACTATTTTGTCTTTTAATGGTGGACTGATGAGGGAATTTTATGAATGCAAAGCATAACATTTGAATTAACTTTCAATTAATTTCACGTCCTTTAAAATAGTTCAGTTTAAAGAAATTGTATATACAGGATGTCCCACCTAAGAGGGATTCATCTGTATCTCTGCAACTGTAAAATTGATAAAAAAGTGGTTTTAATAAAAGTTGCCTGGGCCATATAAAGAAAATATTTGTAGGGAACACCCTGTATATAATCATCCACAAATCTTCTTAATATAATAAGTACATAATGATTTTATTACAATTTCCATTAGAACATTAGGAATATTAGTTATAGCAATTAAATATTCTATTGAATAATTACCTAATGAAAGTAAATAAAAGCAATAAAGATTTACTTATTAGTGTGAAACATTTAACAATTATGGGATTCCGTTTTTCCATAGTAAAGACATTTATGACGAAAATATTATAGGGAACATATTTTTCCTTAATGGTACAAAACAAATGATAGTTTTATAGGTCCATATCAGTCTAAACCACTTATTCCGAAGCTACTGCAGCTGCATCTTAAACGAATGTTTAAATATGCATGGCCAACAGTGCTCTGGCTCATCTAAGATTGATTACCAACATTAAGAAAGAATATAAATTATGGGCACGCCGATTTTCAAATTCTGGCTGTAGTGATCTTTAGAATATGATCTAAAATGTTGTGATATTAATTTAAATAAGGAGTTTGTTGCATACAAAGCTTGCCATATTTTAAATAAAAAGTTATCTTAATCGTTGTCTGACAAAGATTTAAAGCAGTATTTCAGGAAGTACTGGTACCTAATGATAATACTGAAGAAAACTTTAATTGTAAATATTCAAAGACTGTCAGAATATGAACTTATGCGTTTCAAGTCCTGTCGTCAAAGATCTGCAAACCTATTTTCCACCGATTTAAAAATAAGGACATGTTTACGGTGACTTTAAGTATTATTGAGCTACCTTGTTCATCTTTAAGACTAATCATACGAGAAACGTTACTAAATATCAGGAACTATTTACATTTACAAAAAGCTTTTTGTTGTACAAGCACTATTATACTGATATTATTAAACAACTCTTGTATTTAGTGACTTTTCCGGTATAAAATAAGGATTACCTATCTTCGTCCTCTTCATTATTGCCACCGTTATCCTCGTTGGACGAACAGCCGCAGTTAGACTCCCTGATTTCATAACTGGAATGGTTGACAGGACTTTTCAACACGCTCAGCACCAGATCCTCAGAATAGGCCGGTGGATTCTCGCCCCCAGCAGCCTGGTCGACGTCCTCCTTACCAACTAGATCACAGTCCGTGAGAATAGGCGTAAAATCTTCTTTTATGTAAGAACGCCGTCTGTACGCTCCTTCATTCCGGTAGGCAGGTTCTTGGATGGTCGAGGATCGTCTGGACTCTGCTGGCTGACTCAAGGGTACAAGGCTTAGCTTTCTCGATGTCCGGTAAAGACTCTCCTGTTCGCTGCGATTCATGTCGTGAAACATCACTAAAGAAAGCATTGGCGGTACGGCCTGGAGGGCCGAATGTCGTTTTTCATATCTTCATGGCTCCTCGGTTTCATTGGTCGTCTCCGTTCGTCGAGTCGCGCGGTGTTGTAGGAAAGTGAACACTTAGTCTGACATATTTTGCACCGCGAACTGTTTGTGCTGATTAAAAGGCCGTTCACTATAGTTATTGCTAGTAACAAACATTAGGATTCCATTTCAGTATCTACCAAAAGAGTGTTTAATGCATTTGGTTTCTAGTGCAAAACGGTAATTTCGAGAAATATACTGAAAAACAAAGATCAATAATTTTTAAGGCGCATTTGGACCAGATTCCAAGGTACATGTGCTCCAGAATTTTGAACCACTAGATTTGGTGTGTGACTCATTCGATCATGGTCATGGCACACTGTGTACCATTAGGTTTGGTCTGAACTCCACATGTACTGATGTTGAATTGACTTGCATTAGAACCCTGTCTAGATGCTACCCTTCGATAAGGGAAACTGTTAAGAAAAAGAATATGTAAAAATAAGCTGTACTCTTAAGCTATGTATAGCTCTGCTGACAATCAAATCAATGACAACAAACGTGAATAGTGTAGTACAGACCAAATCCAATAGTGTACAATGAATCTTGTTTTGCATGAGAATATCGATTTGTTCGCAAGTGGAAGTAAAAGAATTGCTTCAAATGCGTTAAAGATAAATGTTAAAGGTATAGTGTAACATTACTTGACCAGGTGCGACTAATACCACTAATAGCAAAAACAATATAAGTAATACTTATATTATACAGGGTGTAAATGTTAAGTTTAGCCAAACTTTAATGGCGTATTCTACCGATGGAAATAACCAAGTTTTTGATAGGACGCTTCCCTACGGAGATACAGGGTGTTAAAAGTTTCAAATATTTTATATTATTTTTCCTGCAACTTCATGGCAAAAAAGATTGAGTGATAAAATTTGTTGGATGGCAATTTTTTAGTACGGACTATTTTTTTCATGATAACTTATTCCAAAATATACTCCAGTGGCGTAGTTATTGGGGGAGTAGGGGACCTTTTTTGGAAAAATAATCGTACGCCACTGATTTTTTAAATAATACTAAATGTTTTTAAAATATACAATCAATTTGTGGCAATAAAGTATTCTTGTAAAGTATTCGTAAAATTTACTGGTCTTTAGATAATTGAGAAATCAAATAAGAAGATATTTAAGTACTTACGTTGCTATTTATAATTTTCTATTGATTGCTAAGTGTGTAACAATAAATCCAATACCAAATATGTTCGAGAGATTTCAAAACACTATACAACGTTACAAGAAATGTTCAAAATATAAAAAATAATATAAATATTTGAAACTTTTAACACCCTGTATCTCCCTAGGTAAGCGTCGTATCAAAAAATTTTATAGGACAAAACTTGATTATTTTCATCGATAGAATAGGTATGCTATTAAAGTTTGGCTAAACTTATCATTTACACCCTGTATAATAATCATATATTTGAAAAACTCGGAATCAAATTTTTTATATAAGAAAGCAATAACCGTCGTTTTAAATTTTGAGATTATTCGAGAATTTGAGAAACTTATATTTTGCTGAATGTTTAAAACTATATCAAAAAGGAGAGAGAAGGAATTCAAGTTGAAGTAATTTACTTTTAGTGTACGATAAAAGGCATGTTATCTTATGACACATTGTAGATGATTTGAAATAACATATAGGCCATCAAGTGACTAAGTAATAATGTATCTAAATATGTAATGGAAAAGTTAGAAAACAAGAGAAAGTTTTCCTTATAAAAACATATAAAAGAAATTAAGTCAATTAAGATTAATCGATGGTTATTAGTATGAATGATTTAGAAATTACACCAAAAAAAATTTGTAAGATTTTATTAGTGTTCTTATGTACATGTGTACCAAATATATTAAAATTTAATTAAAGACTTAAGTATAATTATAATTTAAATATTAGACTATATCTAGAAATCAATTGTCAGAAAAACTAAGAAAAGTAAAATATACATATTTTTTTAATTAAATTATGAAATTTAAAATACCTGTAACATTAAAGCTCAACACCCTCTGTAGTTTACTATAGGACGTCAATCATATAGGGTTTTATTTACTGCTAAATACTGATTAAAAGTGTATATGACTTCAATGTTGGTTAGAACCTGTAATAGTTATTAAAGTAAAGATAAGTAAAGGGTTCTTCAGATATATCACTTTTTGCAATTTATTTTAGCATTACACTAATGTTGTAAGTAAAATCAAATTCTAGGTTTTCTAATTACTCTTCCGTATAATAGCAATTTCTTGTGAAGCTGAACCAAAAATTTTTTTTCTTAAAATAAATGATTACTCAAACGAATATTCATTCTGACATGGATTTAAAAAACTCGATAATTCAGCATGGCGACGACATAACTTGTTGATAGAAACAGGAATCAAATTTATTTAACATTTTTTTTAGTTACATATCGACGTCACTTCTCTGTAAGTAATTTTTATGTAACAAAACAGTGAATTAAAATTGTTGTTATGAATGTTAATACAAAATAAATGATTCTAAGTCACATGATTTTTTTTCTGTATAAAAAGGCTTGCAAACTATCCACGTAGAATATCCATTTGTTACTATTCCCTTAAATTGAATGAAATATCTGCAGCATTATGTTAAACCCTTCTCATGCAGGTAAAACTTCTATTGGATCAATATATTCATTGTGGCAAACTAATATATTTCATTATTCTACCGTAAGTCATTTTTCGTTTCAAAATTATTTTGGGTCAATGGGGTCTGGAAATTGTACGTATAAAAAAGTGCTCAAGGAAAATAAATTTTTAAGGGTATACTGGTAAAACTAAATGTTCACCTCCTATGCCATGTCACAGTATTAACAAATTCGCGGTTAATATTTAAATTTAAGGGTGACCACACTACCGTCAATGCGCCCGATAGCACTTCATGAAACCAACTGTTGTTTGTGTGAAGAGTTGAAAATGACAAAACGCGCAACCGTTTGTAAATGACGCCACGGCGTCGATGGCGTCGCGGTCGTCGCTTTTCCCATCGATCTTACCTACGCTGCTGGCAAATCAGGTATATCGGCTGGCACACTAATTTTTGCCTCTATTTTAATACGCTTCTTAATACCCGTATTAGTAAATCAAAGCAGAAATTATATTATTTACGTCATTTAAATAAAGTTGCATTTTTCAACATTCATCACAGAAAGGGCCCCTTTGTGTTCCTAATTATTCTTGATTTTAGGTCAGTTGCGAAAAAACAGTAATGTAATAGAGGACGTTTCGCTAATTTATATTGACACCCTCAGGACAAATACATTTTATTGTAAAAGAATTATTGAAAATAGACATTCTTTGAACTTTACAATTTAAAATTTATATTTATAAAAATTTAACTACTTGTAACTGATAAAGAAACACAGTATAGCTTAATATACATTAATATTTGATTAATTAAAAATAAACAAATTTTAAAATTATATATATACATACATTTTCAGCTTTCAGGCATTTTTAAATACATGTTATTGTAATTTTATAGAAGAAGTTATATTATAATTAAAATTATAAAATCGGTGCATTTCGTAAGTGAAAATAATTTTAATAAAGAGTATACAGGATATTTTAGAAAAGTAGGGAGAGTCCACATTTTCCTGGGATTAAAATATTACGATTTAGAACAACGTATATGCAAAAGTCAAGGCCTATTGAAAGCTAGCCTAACGAACATAGAGCCACAAAACAATATTCTTTAAGGCTGTTTTTATTTGACCAAAAGAGACAAATATACTTTAGTAGAAAATATTAATTACATAGCTACTGGTGTACACATAAAATATTGCGGGGTGATATATAGAAGAAATATATTACATTAAAATAAACAAAGATGCATACCAAATAAGAAATTTACTGATATATTCATTTGTAGACAAAAATTATCATTTATTAGTATTTTTATCCCTGAGGATGGCATAATAATTGAAACTAGTCGGAAAGAAAAATAAATGTTTATATTGAATTAAAAAGGGCAATAATTTACCTCCTATATTTTATTTTCAATTAATAATATCGCTATATAACTCTAATATTCAAAATACCTACCTTCTATGTAGAAGAACAAAAGAAATTTATTTTTGTTCTTCCTTTCTATATGTCCATTTAATTGTCTTAATGAGATTGGGTAATATGAAAGCATTATATATTAATAAACAAAAGATTTGATTCAAATATTTATTTCAATGGCAATTATTTGTCGACAAGCGATTGAAGACATGAACAAATGTTCAATAGAAAATACTTATATACATTCTATAACAGATTCCAAAAGGTTTAGGGGAATTATAGTTATAGGAATCGATAAATGTAATTCAATTGTAATTAAAAGTAACTTTATGATATTTGACAACTATAAAAAGGTGATGTTAGTTTACCAGATTTTTGATACGTACAGAGGAACATTTAAATTGGCATGTACACATAAGATATTCCCTAGATCGGCATTATAAAAAAAAATTAAATATATGGCGAAGGTGCCGGTTGCTCCGAACGTATGGATTTTATTACAATCTATACATATTGATTTTTAATTAGAAGGTGTATTTATAATTTTTCAACACTCAGATAATATTTATAAATGTACACAATTGTAAATAAGAATTATTAGGTAAATAATTAATAGATAATAATTTATTACATTTTATTAATTTTTTATAACTTTTTCGAAATATACAATACTAAATTCATGCCAATCTCTGGTACGTACTAAAACGTAAACATATGTGTGAAATCAATAAAGGAGAGTGTCGTGTTCGATAAACAATTCTGTCTCGTGTAATGTGTACTTGCTAAATTATATTAATTATGCTCTTTGTCCTAAATTTTCCAATCCTTTACAACTATTTTCTCACAACCAAAACTGTGTTTGTATGAAAGACAACCCACAAAGAAGTTGCAGACGTTGGTGACACCAAAGCTTATATAATTGTCAATGTCTTCGTGACATTAAAACTTTTAATCATATATGACAGCATTATTCATAAATGTTTTAAATATTACAAGCAAAAATTGAACAGATACAATTGTAATTATACAAGGTCATCACACGGAAATGTTAGATTCGACTGTAACTGTTTCTTTGTAGATATCATAAAAATGGAATATGATTCATCTACTAGTTTTCATCAGGAATTAATTTCTTTTCATCAAAGAACAATTAAGGTTCTTTGATGAAATTCTTTTAGAATATTCTTCTAGGTTACAGAGACACAAAGTTTAATAAGTATATTTTAATATAATAAAGTGAAATATACGCAGTTAAAAAATATTTCATAGGCATAACGGGTTAGGGACATTTTTAATTGCTAAGAAATGGTTGTACTATATTTTATTTATTTATTTGTAGAGCTGTGCGAAATTTTAAAAATACCTACCTAAATGTTAACTAATTTTCTCTTTTAGAGAGTTCACGTTTTTAAAATAATATATTGATAACCATGATTTTTTAAAATATTGAATAAAACTGTGCAAATATAAAATTTACCATATTAACAAAATACACTTCGAATATTTTATGCCTAAACATCTTGAAGTTATTATTAAATCACTTACTTTCTTGGTTTATGCCACGTCCAGAATCAATTTTATACTTTTCTTCTTTTAAATTTAATTTCAAGATATAGTAGAATAAGCACTCTAAAGATATTACTCGTTTTTATTATATTATATGCTTACGGGAATCGTCACGCATGGCTTGTGAAACGCAGGTGGTTTCCCTAGAAAGCAATAACGTCACATTCAACTGGCCAAATTAATTAATAGATGGGCTTCTCTTGGGGCAACTTAACCATACTTATATAGGTTTCGTGCTACTGACTAAGAAACAGAAAGTAACGTACATTTTATTCTAAAATCAAAACGGCGAGGCTTTATGTTATTTTTTTTTATATTCTAGGACACCTATTTATATATCTTAGTGACAAGAAATATGTTTATTAAATAAGTTACTTAGTAATTATTTAAATACATTTTTTAATAGATGATATACAGGATTTGAATTCTTTAAAATATTCTTTTTTACACTGATTAGAAAAGTTGTTTTTGTAAAGAACGCTTTTTACTTAAATTTATGTTCCAAACATTTTCTATTTTTCTATAACTATACTGATAGATCAAAATAATTCAAATATGGGTCGTAAAACACAGTTTATAATAATAAATGACCTAAGAATGGAATATACAAACTTGAAACTTGATGTAGTAATGTCTGTATCGAACAAAATCTAAGCAAAGGCATCAACATTAGATGTGTGAGCTTTAACTGCCAGAAAGGATATCTTTCTTTGCATATCTGGATCGATTCTCCACAAAAACTTTTATCTCTTGAGCTTTTGCCTGAAATGCATTGTTCTACAGAAAAGTTCAAAAATAGGAATCTGTCGACAAAAATATTATTTGTAGTTCTGCATTCTATAAAATATAGACGAATGTATGATTATTACACATGATTGGTGATATGACTGTTGGAAGCATACCTGAAGCTAAATAGTTTTTTTACAGCTAAGCTCTCCCAAATTCAAAACAATATTGTTAATTTTTTTGTGTTCTATAAAGGAACTATATTGTACCATGTTTGAAGTCTGTAGCTTTAATCATTCTTGAGTTATTTATTAAAACCAATTTTTGAAAGACGGATCTAGTCATTTTATGAACAGATTTTTCTTATTTTATATATTTTTACATGACTTACCTGTATTGGTACCTTCTCTTAGCGTCAGAATTTTGCTTATCAAACGATTAAAAGAATATAAATCCGAATACCAAGATGAAAATGAAGAAGTAAGTTCATTATATTTTTAAATATAGTGACTATATGTTTTGTAGAATGTTATTTAGTATTTTTATAGAACTAGAAAATATGTTGACCACAATAGGCAACATTGTTTAAAAATTTTAACTATCTGCGTATAGCAAAAATAAAAGAATTTACAACAACTTTACATAACTTGATATATCGTTTTTTGTTTTCTTTACACAAGTCAGCGAAATCCGCTAACTATATGATTATTATTATAGTCCAGGCGTTAGCGCATTCGAGGCGTTAGTATTTGAAGTCATTTATTTTGTTGTATAGAAAAATCCCAAATATTATGTAGAATAAGAATCCGAGTTTGCCTATTCCAAAAGAACATTGTTAAATTCAGGGGAACAAGAAACATACAAAAGAATAAAATAATTACCCGTTTTTCGACATATTTTTCCCTGTAACATTGAAAATAAGACCTAAATAAAAAAAGTCATTGTTTATTTTTTGTTTATTTGACGATTTTCTATAAAGTTACAACAACTATGAATCTAAAAATAAATTATTATTAACTTTACGCTTCTATATCTAATAATCTACACAGTAGAATGGTTATAAAAGTATAAAAATAGGTATTTTTAGTATTGATTATTGTTTATTATGACAAGTATCTCTAAAAAATTTTATGTCCTTTCTAAACCTTAATTTAAACCCACGGTACGCGATAAACTTTTTGAAATTTTCTTAATTAATAATCCTGTCAATCGAAAACCACGCTATCGATCGTTGCAAAATTTTTAGGGTAGAATTGACATAAGTATGTTTTACTATTTGTTCACAAAGCTTCACCAATATTTGTAAATATTGCTCTAAATATACATATGATTTTCTACTATTTGTCGTCCATTGTTAACGCAAAATTCAACTTTTTTGATTCGCAGTTGTCGTAGCTTTATAGAAAATCGTCAAATAAACAAAAAATAAAGAATGTTACAGGGAAAAATATGTCGAAAAACGGGTCAATCTACGTTCTTTTTGTGTTTGTTGTTCCCCTGAATTTAGCAATGGTTTTTTGGAATAGGCAAACTCGGATTCTTATTCTACATAATGTTTGGAGTTTTTCTGTGCAACAAAATAGATGACTGCTCTACCGCCTGGACTATTAACAAAAAACACGCGCTGCAAAAAGATTGAGACTCCATCTATCACTATATTTTTGAGGATATCATTAAAAATTCATTGATCTAAGAGGGGGTACTTACACGATGATGTGATAAACGAAACACTTCCAGTTATCAGGCCTCTCGAGAAAATTGTACACCTGCCCTTGAAAAGTGGCCCTTCCAGCTATTTTTCGATGTTGCTTCGATGCGTACCGAGCCGCTTCGCCCCATTTTGGAGGACTTTCTAGTAACAATGCGGTAGGATTTATACCCTGGCAACATGTCGTTGTTGGCACTGAAACGTGACGTGATAAATGATTTCTCTTTTTATACTTATTATGATTAAAGACGCAAATGGCATGTTCTTTTGTGTAATACTCCGAATGGAGTACAATCAATGCAGTAAATATACAGGGTGGTCCATTTTTACTATTCTTTAATCAATCGTAGGCAGATGAGAAATATTTCTAAGGAAAAAAGAGCAGAATAAACGAAATACAAACACAGCTGCATTGGGCCACTTGGCAATAAATCTCAGCTCTTGACAAGTGGTTGACAAATTGCTCAGCAGTGCAGTGCAGTAATGCGGAATTTGGTGTGATTCGGGTAATTTTAATTTATTATAGGCACCTTCTATTAATCATTCATATTACAATTGCGAAATGAAAAAATAAGGGGGATATTTTATTTACTAATATTATCACAACATGGCATTTTGGAAACCTTTTGAAACGGAAGAAAACGAAATTTACCACCAATATAATAAAATTGTTTGAGGACATAAATAATTAAAATATGTTGTTGGCGAAATGAACATATAATAGAAATTTTCTACACATTATATACAAATTATTATAATTTTTTACCTTTAGCAGAAAACTTTTTTAGTTACGCCTATGAAAGTCATTAAATTTTATTGCCAAGCGTTTTTTATATGTTCAACTGACTTCGGAAAGACTATAATCATAAATTTGTTTAGCTTCGAATTAATCGGAAGAGTATGTTGCTGGTGTTAATGTTCTTGTGATAATGATTCTATTTTTAATATCATGTATATTTCTGTATAAGTTGACTCACCCTGTATATTTCAATTACTTCTGTAGGGTGAAGATGTACTTAAAAAAATTATGAAGAAAGATGTAATATCTTCAATTTGTTGAAAATGCAGTAATTATTGTTATTATATTATTTGATCTAGTAGGTATAGATTAAAACAGAGGTGTTGAAAAATGCAGCTTCAGATGGAATATAACTGAACTGAAAAACAAAGAGAATCATCAATCCCATCCAAAATGTTCCGAAACATTCCAATTTAAGCAAATGTATATGTTTAACTCAACAATTTCATTTAATCTGTTAACACAAAGAGGTTCGTAACTTTTGAACTGTCTGCAATTCCACAAATTCTCGTTCTCATATATTTGATATATTGTAATACTTAACCCACATATGGTTGAAAAAAATTCTGAATGGTCTAATTAAAGTGACAATGTCCTGCAATTTCCAAATACAGGGTGGGCCATTAATGTGAGAAAGTAAAGTAACTCCTTTGGTATTCATAATACAGAAAAAAAGTTTATATAAAAGTTGTACAGAATCAAGAAACCTAAACGGCAAAATTAATTTGAAACATACAGGGCGATGAGTAAAAACGGGACACGTCAAAGATTACATTTTTTTAATGTAACACTCTGTATATTTTTAAACAAGGATTTCCGAGAAAATTCTATTTATAGCAATATAAACAGTTTATCATTTTAGTGCAGGGTTGCCAAGTTATGTAGAAAATTCTTCGAATTTTGGAAAAAACATGACCTCGAAGAAGTTGTATTAACTTTCAACTACTAACACTTGGAGCAAAAATAGTTATAGACAAATGTATAGACAAAGACAGGGCATTTTTTATTTTTAGAAAGTTCAAACTTGATTTTCTAAAATTTTTCAAATGGAACACCTTGTATTTTATTGTCCTGTTTTATTCAAATATGAGTGCACTCCAACTTTTATTAAGTATGTTCTACACCTAAAATTGTTAGTTAGTAACTTTTTATATTGCCATATTATACAGAATTTTCTCGGAAATCCATATGTTTAAAAATATACAGGGTGTCCCATTAAAAAAATGTAATCTTTGACGTGCCCCGTTTTTACTCATCGCCCTGTATGTTTCAAATTAATTTTGCTGTTTAGGTTTCTTGATTCTGTACAACTTTTATATAAACTTTTTTTCTGTGTTATGAATAACAAGGGAGTTATTTTACTTTCTCGCACTAATTGCCCACCCTGTATATACATACATTATTCTGATTTATTATTTCCATGACGTGTTATACAAAAACTCAATTTTTTCCCAAACGGCTAATTTTATCGAAACAAATGTAGATTACTTTTGAAAAGAGGAATGACCAAAGTATTTAAAAATTTAGTTTTCAGATCTATAAAATGACACCTGTCATTTTGGCCCAACGAGTGTGGTTGCTAGTCCGTTCCTGACTTCCGTGACAGTATAAAACATCCTCTGTAGTGTGGTTTTATAAGCATAAAGGCTAAAGACTAAAACAACAATTTGGCTTGATTTTGTTGCACTATGCCTGGTTTTTCTCGAAAACGGGCAAATTGTAGCACTTCTTATAAGGGCACTTTTTTTGTTTAGAATAAAATTTGCCGTAACAGCAAGTGACAAAAGGGGGCAAAAAGATTAACCTCAAAAAAGTTAGGACCTAAAATGTTCTCGCGGAATACTACATCCTCAGAAACCCCACATAACAAAATTTAAGTTAATTTGGTCGAATTTTTTGGAAGATAGGACCGAAACTAGATTCTAAAAATTTATTTTCAACGCCCTGTATATTGAAAACGGAAAAGATGGTTCATAGGAACAAATTGTAATATTTTTTTAAATTCAGGCCCTGAATTTATGTCAGTGTTTTTCGGGACACCCTGTATATAAGTTAATCAGAATTTACTGCTTTATTAAGTTTTCTTATAATTGTTACAGTTGTTAATAGTAATTCTGCACAAAAATTAATACACTCTCAGAAACTTATTTTAAGTGTACTCGTACCTTTATTACAAACGGTAATTATTTAAACTTACCCGACTCTAGAGGAGTTTGGAGAAGTTGTTGACTACTTCGGTCTGACAAGGGACTTGGAGACGGTGTTCCTCCAACTTCCACTATGCTAACTGACAGCTGAGAACGACCGCCTGAAACAAAATTACCTTTTCATTCCTTTGACATTAAAACAACCATTACACATTGTCGGAGTAAATATTTCAGAAGGTATGGGACCCATACCAAAAAGTTCAAAATCATTATACTTTTTTGCAAGTCGATTGCAAATATACGGAGTGTCTCCAATTTAATAACACAGACTTTAGCAGCCGATAGAACAAGTTCTTTCAATAAAAAAAGTTCACGTAAGTTCTTAAGTTAAAGTTTATAAAAAGTATGTCTACTTTTTTAAATGACAGCAGAACTATGTAATATTTTGAACTTTGTTTTAATTATAGTTACATAAATACAGAGAACAGGAAGTAATTCGACATTTTAGCCTCCCTTCAATGGAAATAATCGGTTAATGCTCGCGCTTCATGCATATCGCTAACATTTTCCGATTTATTTGCATTTCTCTGATGGAGGTTTGTAACGCGCTATAGCACAGTGGTAAATAGTGTTTGAAGTAGGCTGGCTTTGAAAAATAGTACAATGTTGTTTTAAGTGTCATATATCAAGAATAAGCAGATATTCATTTCATTTATATGGTTTTGCGGACGATAATTCAAGAGAGAAAGAATATTCCCAGATGGCAAACCCAACGAAATATTGCAAATGACAAATTTGTGAAGATATGAAGACTCTGAGAAACTGAGAAAATATTAATTATCGATTATGAATTCTAAGTGAATTTAATAGAGACATTATGAAGCATTTAAAATTTTTATAAAAAATTATAAAGATTAATACCTATGGACTTTACTATGAACATGCATAGACAGTCAACCAAAATTGGAAATTAATATCAACTGACCTTCCCCATATGCCTTTTTAATGTACATTCTTTATGCGTTATAGGTATTGATGCTCCATTAAGATATAAGGCACTGTTTTATATTTTATCAATATACGTATTACCTTTAATAATATAATTCACGTATCGCTCAACATAATGCTATTATAATGACTATCCTAAACAGCTATGCCAACGTTTAATATGAAAGGAAGCATTTTCATACAATGGCTAAAGTTATGTCCCTATTAAAATTTGATGTATCATCAGCAACTAACAGGGTCAGATAAATTCGGCGAGTGTATAGCCTCTGGTTTACTTTGTATTAAGCTTGAGAAGGACAATACCATTTATTGCTCGAGTTAAGTGAGTGCAAGTAGAAATTTGGGCCATATTATGCTCTGCACCTATGCATGGAAAAGGGTAAAACAAGCTGAATATTGCACTTGTTAACACAGAGCTAATAGTTTTCTAATTACTTTAAATTAATGAAATGTTCAGTGCTACTGATTCCTCTTTGTCTTTACCTAAAAAAAAATATAACGCTCTGAGTATTATAAACTATTAATATGCAGAGTATTCTAATATTTGATATTGACAAAAAAGTCGGATGCAGATAGATGAGCGAAAATAATATCAGTTCTTCATATAATTTTTTTTCATACGGGCCTTTGTTATAAGTTACGGATCCTCAAATGTGAAATTTAAAGTTATTTTTATTTACAGTCTCTAAACTATTAACTTCAGCATGATGCAAATGTGGTAATCGATAACACATGCGTGCAACTTGTTTTTGATGTTGTAAGTGAAGCTTCATTATTCCCAAAACGGCAGAGACGGACTATGCCCAATGGTTAACAACCCAGAATTTTTTGCATAGACGATCGCAATCTACCTGTATCAAAAATAAGTCCCGTGATGAATTTGCCAAGGATAATTCCGTCTTGGTTCAACTCGGTAAAATTAACAGTTTAGAAAATATTTGTGATTTTATGTCACACTGCACATCAAGCAGCGCCTCCACCATTTTTTGTTTTTAATGTTTAATTGGACATAATTACAACTATATATTTTTAAAATAATAGACTAGAATATCTTACTGCCTGCTAATGTAATTTTCACTAACAAAATTTGACAAACACACTTTACTCATAATGTCACATAGAAAAACAAAACAAGAATAAGTTAAGATAAAAAAATAATTTAAAAGAAAGAAAACTATTAAAATACATTTTCACACTTCTTAATTCTAAGAATGTTATTTGTTTGTACACGAAAAAGCATTTCTGGGGTAATAATTTAATAGGTCCATACTAATAAAATCAGTAGGGAAAGTTATATTTCCCGCGTCTTCCATATTTCCACCATTTTTTTAACTTTAACATATTCTCGTTTTATTTCTCTATTTTGTGTTATGTGCAAAGTGTATTTGTCAAATTTTGTTAGTGAAAATTACAATAGCAGAGAGTAAGATTTTCTAGGCTCTTTCTTATAAAAATATATACGGTTGTAACATAGTAATTATGTCCAATTAAATATTGAAAACAAAAAATGGTGGAGGCGACGCTCGATGTGAACTGTGACATAAAATCACAAATATTTCCTAAACTGTTAATGTTACCGAGTTGAACCAAGAGGTTATTATCGTTGGCAAATTCATCATGAAACTTATTTTTGATACAGGCAGATTGCGATCTATGCAAAAATTCTGGGTTGTTAACCATTGGGCATAGTCCGTCCCTGGCGTTCTGGGCATAGTGAAGTTTCACTTACAACATCAAAAACAAGCTGTAAGCGTGTGTCATCGATCATCAAATTTGCATCATGCTGAAGATAATAATTTAGAGACTGTAAATAAAAACTTTTTAATTTTCATCTTTAAGGGCCCGTAACTTGTTAACGAAGGCCCGTATGAGAAAAAATTATATGAAGAAGTAATATTATTTTGACCTCATCTATTTGTACTCGACTTTTTTGTATCAAGTCCCAGGACACCTTGTATATAATATAACAAATCACTATTTTAAACATAAATGGGTTCCTCAAACAGTGCGTCACATTCTGACCTAACAAAAAGGAACAGCTAACAACGCGTCATTATAACTTTAAGTGGGGATGTATTAGTAAACACATAAATGATGTACCGCGAATGGTCTAATAAATTAATTAATTAATGTCCTTTAATTAATTAACCCATAACCGCCCATGATTAAGGGGGGCGCAAGTTATTGCCACTTATACACTATGGTAGGGTTTATAGATTATTGATGAAGCAAAACCACATATGGTACATCAAACGGTAATTATGTAGGTTTTAACGCGCGAGGGTTATCTCAGCTCATTAACTTTACCCTTCAACAGGGAACGTCTGTGTTTTTATACAGTTTTTAAATTGCCATACGTGGTTTGTTTGACCAAGCGTTGAATATTCCGGTTTATGTGACGTCAACTTTGTAGTAATATTTTAATAAATATTTGAACCTGAGAGAGTGAAACAGGATCTTAAATCTTAAATCTTCTGAATATACAAGGTGTTTATAGGATATGGTACCCAACTACCCAACTGAAAGGAGTGTAAGGAATGTTACATAAAACAGAAAATTTGTATGATAAATGTGCACTGCTCATCAATTTTTTTCTTTGTAACTCACCCGTGTTAAGTAATTTCTGCTGTTCATCCAAGGCCATGTTGAACTTTTCCGGAAATTTTACGCCCAAATTGGGCATGCTATCTCCTACAAGAGCGGTCCAATGTCTGAAAATTACAGAATTCATATTATTTTATATTCATTTTTCTTCGCGCTGTATCTAATTTTTGTTAAGTTTAATCTAAAATAAATCAGTATAAAATACTTTCTTTCGTAAAAGAACAAGTCAAAGTTAAATGGTCCCACCCCCTGCACATTATCTATGTCAGAAATCTATGTTTAATTAAATGAAATGACCACCGACCTCCTCTATATACGCACCAACAATTAGGGTGATCAAATTATGACCCTTATTGATATTTCGAACCAGTCGACTTCAAATATATTTTTAGACAATGCCGTTTAAGTCCTGATGATGTCAAGGGGGGGGGGGAAATAGGGGCATTAAATCAGCTCGGAATTTCCACAGGCGCTTCTCAAATAACTTTCACCCTATAGGTAGGGCTTATTGTCATGTAAGTTTGAAGTTTCTGCTTTATAAAGGCGACGGAGCTTTATTCCTGACTAGTAATGAGACTACACACAGTCTGTAGGAAGACTTTTCATTAAATTTATTAATAATGGACAACCTTCCCATTCAACTAATATTGTCGGAGCTTTCAAGCCCCTTAGGCGTCTCACCTGTTTCCTAACAAAGCTTAATTTTCCTTAAGCACAAGTACCTGCAATTGAATTGCTTTATGATACCAAGAAAGGGCACATTTTAAAGATATTTGCAATGTGGTTCCTTTCCTGGTACCTAAATGCATGAAATACTTACATTTTTTATTTCATTCACAGTTTTAAGTTGAATATGATAAAATTTAATATTTCGAAACGATAGAGAGAGAGAGATGGTTAAATTAATAGCGACGGAGAGAAACTTTGGTTATAAAGTGTACATCTTTTTTAAAAAGACTTCCTTAAATTACTGGTCTTTAGTAAATTCTGCTACATCTCTGTAAATCTCAGTATATTTTAGTAGTTCCTTAATTCCTTTTACATCCCAATAATTCTTTAGTAAATCCCTACATCCCATTAATCGTTGAGTAATTCTCCGCAAATCTTTATACAGTCCTTTCATTTTTTTTTCACACGTATCTTCCGATTGCATAGATTGGCCCATAAATAGATTACCATCATATATACGTTCAAAAACGATAAAAAGGTTCTGTAGAAGATTGATATATATATNTACCTTTGACGTACTATATATATATATATATGTATATATATATATATATAAAATATGTCACAGTGGCACACCCTGTATATTTAAAATATATTTTTAATTGTAAAATGATTGTTCCACTGCCAAATCATTAGTAACATATAATTTCAATGAAAAAAACTTTAATTCATAACTACAAACATTAATTATAACGTGGGTAAATACCTGATTGTTATGTTGTACCTACTGAAATATCTAGGGCCGATACCTTTTGTTCGCTTAATTACAGAGTTCTGAAAGAAATTAACGATCAGAATTTCCAATCATTTTTAGCAATGAGGAATTGGTTTAATGAAAAACTTGAAAACTGGATTAAACTTTCTATGAAAGATGGAAATAATTAAAATTTTAATTATTCATTCGATTTGTAGCACCCTAGATGTGTTTATTTGGTAATATTTAAAATAAACGTTGTTAGTTATTGTTGAACATTAATTTTCTACCCCAGAAGAAGCACTCCCAAACGATATTTTTCTATAGCATAGATAAGAACGTGAAGAATACAATTATATTCAAATCTTATCACAATAATTGCTACCTGCAAATGATATTTTTTTATATCAACAGTTTGTTACAAAATTGCATAAAAAAACTACTTTTATACTTGTAACATATTTCTTTTCAAACACAACTTATCTTTTAAGTGAGTTTTCACTGCTCCTCGTCAGAGAAGGCAGAGTAGTAAAATTATTGGAAAGGATAATAAATTGATCTTGTTAGGACTGTTGAAGAAGTCACTTGATTTATCATCAAGAACAAAAGCTAAGAGCTCTCCATATGAAGTGGTACTTCCCCTAATTGTTCAAGTTATAAACTTTAATCGACGACGAGAAAAATGCTAATAAAGTTATAAAATATTTCATATTTTCAGGTTACAATTATCTTAATATTACCCTTTAGAGATAATAATTTATTCGCAAAATCTTATTCATTACTCTACCCAACTTTAATCATCTACTGTGTTATTATTTTCCCGTTTTGCCGCATCCTGCTTGGTAAATTTACTTCAAGTTATATCCTATTAGGCACTATAATCCCCCTTTGTAATTTCAGAGATATGTAAGTGCATACCTGCGTTGGAAGGTTGAGATAAATGCGAATTTTGATAGTTCCCGTACGTCGGCTTCCACAATAAGCTTAAGATAACAAGCTTTGGCAAATAAAACATCTGCCACTGAGGGATAAAGAACGGTTTCTAGTATATCGAGAAATCGATACCAACATTACTGTTTTATTCTGTGAACCATCTCAATCGTACTTTACTTCCATGTAACTCAAATATGTACAAAACTAACAGCTTAATGTGTTTACTAGGTACAGAATATACTACAAATTTTCTTGAATTTAGGGTTTTCCAACAAAAATCGAAAGACGAATATCATAGTAAGCATATTATACAGGGCGTTTCAGTGTGTTTAATGTGAATTTTCTCTTTAATGTAATGTTACTTATCAATATACAAGACATCTAAATCAAAAAATAATTCAAACATTGGTAGTATTGTGAAAACCATTTCAACATTCAGTACGATTCATTTTGAAGCCACAAATTGTTTGGTATTCATTTAACTTTTATTTGATAATTCAATAAACATAATTAATAATTTTATTTTGGAAAATGGAAATATAATCAATTTAAAGCAGGTATGTGTACGTGCTGGAGTTGCACTAGCTCTGTTGGAGTCTCTCTGATGTTCTGGGATGACAGTAACGCTGTCGTCGGATATTTGTGTCCTGCAAGCACAGTAACAGAGGATATGTATGAAATCATCGTCGTCGTGTCTGCATAGTCTGTACCTCGCGATATTACACAAACCAACACTTCAACAAGTAATTCCTATATCTTCCTCAAAAGAAAAAGAACATTTACCCCTGATCTCATACCACAGATACTACCCGCCCCTGAGTCCTCGTCAGTCTTGGACCCGTCAATGATCCAGACGAGCCTATTCGAGACTTAAGCATCAGGATTGACAAGCCAAAAGCATTTCCACTCTGAAACTGTGAAAAATATATCTGTTTCTACTAATTCCTTGCAGACAATCGTGTGTGCTCCATTCTGATCCTTCCTCCTCCATATATGAGACTTCAACTACAAGGTGTTGATTTGGAAGTGACAAAAGAGCCTCCAAAACCTAATCCCAGCTCTACACAGCCACACAGTGACTTTAGAATTAAGCTCCATATCTTGTCAAACAGCCTCTTGCAGTTTCAGAAGCACCTTGAGGTTTCAAAGGCGATTTTCCTGAAATAAATATGATAGGCATGCCTAAATATTCCTCCCTCAATGAGCATTCGGATTATCGAACGCAAAGCTTCACAGCAGTAGAGAAATTTATCCACCCTCTGTACATCCTCAGACCACAGTTATCCCAACCGTGGTTTTACTGAGGGTGATATAACAACAATATAGCCCCTGTCCACCTGATTACGGTAGAAGATGGGCTAGGTCTTTCTGCCGCCCTCTGGATGGAGTCATAAGAGTTGTTATATGCTCCGGCTATGGTCAAGAAGCAATAGCAATAGCGAGCTCCTTCTGACTGACAGTATATTTTGTATACTATAGAATGCAAATAGATTTACCTGATCGGTGGATGTGCTGTGAAGTTATAATGCAGATGATGGACGATGTGTTCTGACAGTTGTTATAGAAGGGCCGGAAGAATTACCATCCTTTTTTGCACTCTTGAAAGGGGAAGTCTATGATTCGACCATGCGTGACTACCTTTGACGTACTTTTCCAATTAATACCTGAATGTTCTATGTAGAAAGATGACTAGATGATGGTTTAGGACGATTCCAGGGAAGTTATGATCAGCTAAGGGCAAATGCCTCTTTGATGGCACCATCAAGAAGTCTGGGAGCACTTCATTGTTTATTTTCGTTATCTTGATCTTATCTTATCTATATCTTATCGTTATCTTGAGTTTGATTTGTAGAACAAGACTCTTGAACTGACGATGTGGTCTTTTGTATTGGTCCCAAACAAGCTTCAGTTTTGAATGTAGAGCTTTTTTAAGGTTTGTTTCGGGAGTCTAGTTCCAGCAAGGGACTCTCTCTTCTCTTCTGTGTTTTTTTTTTCTATCTGGGAGACGATGCAAGGCGTTGAGCATACTCCAGAGTTTCGGATAGTCTTTCTAATAAAATGGTATGGAGATATTTTAAAATTACTCTATTATTCCAATTCACTTTCTATAAAGAAAGTTTTCACAGCAAGGTAGTATTTTCGTAACAAAAGAAGATTTTATAAAGAGAAATTTATTCCCTCCCAGTGTGATCTTGTCGGTTACGCCATGACATCCGAAATCCCTATGTCTAATCACAGTGTATTAAACATAAAACTGATCCAACTGGCACACAGATACAACATTGTGCGTGTACAATGTATCGTTAACCCATTAACGTCAACGATGAACGTAATTTGGCTGACACGACGCTAATCCCAATAAAGTCCATTACGCAAAAATCCGTTTTAAAGTTCTATTAGCCCGATGGCATTCTATAATCCGATGATATATCGCTTCCGACCAGGCGAATCAGCTTTTGTAGTTCTCATTAAAACAAACCAATTTAGTTGAAACTGGCGTGGCTGGAAATATTAGGAAATTAAATCTCAGAGGCACTGCCGTGCGAAGTCGATAAACTGAAGGCAGCGTAAATTCATTTCCATCGGTGTGACAGCTTTTGGGAAGCAACGAACGCCCAAGTTTCAATAACAGAGATGTGCACGGTATTCGGTCACGCGCTATTGGAATAAATAATAATTCTCTAAATAATGTTGGGAAGAGATTTGTGTGAGAAAAACATGAGATGTTTAGATTATAGAGAATATTAAGAT